TACGCAACTTGCCTCATGCAAGAAGGAAAATGCGACATAAACTGCTAACATGTAGATGGTATGGGTATGGATTGGAGCAGTTGTAGAGATACACATGAGGTTTCAAGATCAAGACATGTTCCCAATCATGTCCACCGAGAAAAACTCATGTTTCTTCATTTGTGGGGAGATGTTTGGAGCCATCAGCGCCCATTGTGCAGCCATAGGGCCCAGTTAATGTCACCTTTGGCATGCGCGAATTATGGGTTGCTCCGTAATCTATTACAGGTACATGATAGCCACAAGCAAGGGAGAGAAATTGGTGGTACTTGACCTCTCCCAACTCAGCCAAATCAGTTACCCAACAGTTGGAAGTGCAGTCTGGTTATCCCATGGATAGGTGGGTCAATCACCTCGTTTGCTGACCACTTACGATTCGTGGGGTGATCCTGCATAAGAAAGTTTTTTGAAATGAATTCCCATAAACCAGCTACTGTACAAAAACCATTCATCTTTCATGAAGCATCCCATAAAATATTACCATTTAAAGAGGGTTAATACAGCATTATATTCTCAATATTTTGATATGATTGTATTAAATATATATATACATATTGACAAGATATATATATATATATAGCAATACATCAATCCATTTATGGTGATGGTGATGTTTATCTAATTTACCCTTCAGCAATCAAACATAGTTTGCTGGAAAATCGACTAGATGATTTTCCTAGCTATAAGTCCTTATTTATAGTCGATTTCCCATCTAGCCAGCTTTGATTACCGGAGGGTATTAACCAATATTCTATTCATGTCTCATTCATATTCCCATGAATGTTCTGAATATTCAGATTCCATTGATATGTCCATTAGATATTCCAAATTGTAGATTTACGGCATTGGGTTTACCACATTAATTATTTACTTTCATTAATATGCCATGAATATTTAATGATCTGATTTATTTCTCATATCATAGAGGGTTTGATATTCCATTCATATTCATATTCCATTATCTCATTTATTTGTTATATATATATATATATACATACACATACACACATATTATAGTATCATACATTTATGGCCCGACCACTGGTTAATAAATGGAATGAAATGACTCCTAAAACTATTTAACTATTTGGTTACATGTCATGAAGTTAAGCCCATAAAATAACTGGCATTTATCGGCTCATAACTGTAGACTCTCAGCTGCAATTCCCATCAAATAAATTATAATTCCCATTAAATCATTAAATCAGCTATAATTCCCATTAAATCAGCTATAATTCCCAATAAAACAGCTATATGTCCCATTAAATCATCATTTCCCCATGGTTTTCCTATGGTTTTGTTTCAGGGCCCCAGGGCCTGTTGGTTCGGTGATTTTGTTTTTCTCTCAAAGCCACAGGAGGTGCCAAAGACGGCCTACTACGGCAGCTGAGCTACAAGAATCTATGGGAAGATAAGGAATACGATTACCCTTTGGTTATTTAACATAGCCATGGAAAATCATCTATAAGTGGGAAAATCACAATTTTTAATGGGTAAATCAACTATAAATGGCTATGTTCAATAATTATAATTAACCCATAGATATTGCAATACTGATTGGTGGTTTGGAACATGGCTTTTATGACTTTCCATATATTGGGAATGTCATACTCCCAACTGACGAACTCATATTTTTCAGAGGGGTAGGCTCAACCACCAACCACTATGATATTGTATATACTATAATCTGGATGAATATGGGAATACTCATATCTTCATTCCATTTATTCTATATTATAAATTCTATATTCCATATATTAATCCATCTTCTCATACTTATAATCTACGTGTAAATATGGGAATATATGGATGACGGAATAGGTTTTTTATTAATAGTCATTTTTGGGTAGCCCGGCTGGATGGATGATGATTTGGGGGTACCCCCAGGACTATGGAAACCCACATTTTGGATGGGAAAAGCATGATGTTTGGCACTGGATGGAATGGGGCAACACATGTTCGGAGCCACATCACATTATCTATTTCGCAGAAACGTTGAGATAATTTTGTGGTTGATGTGATGCAATCACTACACTCTGGTAATTTAACGTAGCTATTGAAAATGGCCATAGAAATAGTTGATTTACCCATTTAAAATGGTGATTTTTGATAGTTATGTTAGTTTATCAGAGAGTAACAAATTTGCTGCTTGCCAACTTCATTGAACACTGGGAAGGGACCCGGACTCGCCATCTCAGGAATCCAAACCATGCGGGCATTGGAATGCTACAACATTACGGGTAGCTGGGCAAAAAGGTGGCCCCTAAGTTCGGCCTGGTTTATTACCTCCATGAATTATAGATAGATAGATAGATAGATAGAGATATAGATAGAGATAGAGATAGAGATAGATAGAGATAGATAGAGATAGATAGAGATAGAGATAGATAGAGATAGATAGAGATAGATAGAGATAGAGATAGATAGAGATAGAGATAGATAGAGATAGATAGAGATAGATAGAGATAGATAGAGATAGCTATAGATAGCTATAGATAGCTATAGATAGCTATAGATAGCTATAGGTAGCTATAGATAGCTATAGATAGCTATAGATAGCTATAGATAGCTATAGATAGCTATAGATAGCTATAGATAGCTATAGATAGCTATAAATAGCTATAGATAGCTATAGATAGCTATAGATAGCTATAGATAGCTATAGATAGCTATAGATAGCTATAGATAGCTATAGATAGCTATAGATAGCTAGATTAAGTTAGATTAGGTTTGAATGGGTTTGATTAGGTTTGATTAGGGTAGATTAGATTAGATTATATTAGATTGCATTAGATTAATTAATTAATCAATTAGATGAGATAGATGGATCCACGATAAATCCAACAGTGACTTGAAATTGTAAACCAATTAGCGCACAAACTAGGGCACCACATTGCGGATTTTGCCAATTCAATGGGGATCTTATGAGGAATGGGTATGGGGCTTGAGTCATTTTGGCAGCCATGGGCCTACCTACCAACCACCGAAACCGTGAAGCCCCAGATGTTATCGTTGTGTTTGCTGGGTTGATAAACCCTATAAGCATAGCCCCCATGATTGGATGGGGGCATGGTTGAAATCCCATGATGTTGGTAGTTTACGAAACTTACGGGTCATTTGGGTTTTCAATGGAAGTAAGCACACCATATGGCTGGTATGGGATGCGCAGTTGTCAATTGTCTCGAAAATTACATGAGGCAATGACAAGAGTGAATTTGCAGGACTGGACACGACACATAAACAATTTCAACATGTGCATTTTGGGCATTTCGTCTAAGGCATCCGCTTGCGGAATTTCCCGGAGTTCATTGTGGCGTTTGCCATGGTGAAGAATCTTGAGACAGCTGGGACACCAACTGGATGCGTAGTTAAGTCAACCTTTACGGTGGATTTAACAAGAACGGACATTAATTTATAAATATATAATTATATTTATATATACACATGAGCTACAGCTAAAATTTAGCGTAATGGAAAGTAGTATTCGAGACATCTTTATTTTTGGAAATCGAGCTGGGGCTTGGAAAACGATATTACACTCTTCAAAAAACGATACCATTTACTATACTCCCAAAACCTGAAAAACGATAATACACTCTTCAAAAATTGATGACTTGGAGCTACTGGTATATACTAAATATTGACCGTGGACCACATATATATATATAAATATTGATGGATTTAACACGATTTAACCAACAGGTATTGGATATTTACCCAAAAGAATTGGGGAAACCTGGGAATCATGGTGGATTAAATGAGGATATCATGGGAATCTGAACAACGATGAAAAATACAGGGACATTTAGTTACAATCCTGCAGGCAGGGGCTTGGTGAGTCACAAGTAGGTTTTTAACCACCACATATATCATGATATATCCATCTAGATAACCCCTGCGACGTCACTCGAATGATGGTTAAAAGGATATCCCCAAATTCTCAATTTAGATTAGTGAATTACTATTTTATATATATATATATATCCTTATATCATATCTATTATAAATCCCTGTTGGCCTAGTTCGACACTAGCTCACCCATCTAGACCAATTAAAGGAGCCCTTCCTGTGTGACTGGAGTGTGATTGAAGAAATGAATGATACTGCATCTATTTTTTGTCCCTATGCTAGACTTGGCCCATTTGGGGGCTTCTGAAAATGGAGTATACCCAAAAGCATGGGTTTCAATTTCAATACTAAAATTGCCTAATTTGGATGATTTATGGGTGCCCCCATTTTAGGAAACCTCCATTTGGATACACGTTCGATGATCGCCGTTTTTGGAACTACTCAGTTCTGCTTAGAGCACCATCTTTGTTGCTCCCCATGTTTCTTGCTTGCATCCTTGATCCGAAGTTCCTATGTCTCCATATGGAAGATTCTTAAAGTGGGGGACCCCAAAATACGTCCAAAATACCACATGTTTTTGGATTGAAATAGTTAGACAAAAACACAATTTTCGGATGATAATCTGGGGTCCTCAATTTCAAAACTCTCTTTGTATTATCCAATCATATGATGTTGGCGTTATGTCCCCATTCAATCACCATTAAATGATCATTAAATCGCCATTAAATCACCAAAAATGTGGTATTTTCCCATATTTTCCCCCATGAAATCACCATGAAATCACCATGACACCAGTCACCAGTCATCGACCCGTGGTCGCCAGAGGAAGGCTTGCGCCAATGCCAACTACAAGTTGGGCTTGCTCGAGGTCAAGAAGAAAGAGGCCGGAGATGGTCCAGGTGTTTCTCGGATGTTTCCTACACATACATTGATTATCATAGATTCTAGATGCATGATAATTCTATTAGAATATATCATGATAGTGTATTATACATAGATTGACATTATATACGGACTGATGATCTCTATGATTCTATGATATATCTGTATAGTATATGTATATATTAATGGTATATATATATATACACACTATATATATATATATATACATATTATATATATATATATACTATATATATATATAATGTGGATTTTGTCTGTGGTATATGTTGCGCATTTGTTCGTCCCTGAGGCCATCTGCCGTGCCTGTGATGAGCTGATCGACCCACGTTTGGATGCACACAGCAAGGGCGTGGAGATTCTGGGCCAAAAACGTGGGATGTTTACAGGATATGACTCTCTCTGGTTACCCTGCAGGCAGGGGCTTGTTGAGTCACAAGTAGGTTTATAACCACCAGATATATCATGATATACCCTCTGGTAAACATACAAAAAATAATGGAAAGATCCACCATTTTCTAGCTGGCTAATACCACTATTTCTATGGCAAGTTTCAATAGTTATGTTAGTTTACCAGAGGGTATGTAACATAGCACTATTACTATTCAAACAATGGATGAATTGTTCTGATTATTAACCATTCATATATGGTAACTGTTACCCTCTGGTTATTTAACATAGCTATGGAAAAAAAAGCACCATTAGTAATAGCCAAACCATCATAAATAGTCTATTTTAAATGGTTCATTTTCCATAGCTATGTTTTCTATAACCAGAGTGTATCTATACATGGGAATCTACTTTCACCAGCTAACCATTCAGCGATTTAACCACGAGATAATTGGGATAGAATAGGACACCTAAAATGGTGCGTTGATGGGATAAGATGAGTTTGTTGAGTGGGACAAATAGGACTATAGTGGATATTTATATAACGGTGTGCTATGAAACTTGCTCCATTTATAGATGAATCAGTATGATTTATGATGATTACCTATCAAACATGTTGATGTTCCATAGCTACATTAAATTAGCAGAGGGTAGCAATAATGGCTGAAAATACTTGGGAAGGATAGGGGGACTTAACCAACAATTATGGAGTTATTTTGTGGGGATATAAGTCAAGGATAGTCAAGGTCACTGAGAGGTGGTGCCCCAAAACTGTTGGGTGTAATCACAAGTAGTTACTGCAACTCAGGGGACCTTTTTGCATTCCAGGTGCGCCTTAAAATTCATTTGCATCACATATCACTGTATGATCACCATCGCCATGACGGAATAGGGTTCTATTGATGTTTTGAAATGGGAGTACCATTTTTCTACTGTCTTTTACCACTGAAATTCATGAAATTGGGATGATTTGGGAGTAGCCCGCTTGAAACAAACCGACATGAACAAGACGGACCATTCAGGTGGCAGGGTGGGATCAGGGCTGTTGCGCTCGCTCAGGATGCGTGAGAATTTCCTGGTGGACATGATTCAAGGTGCATTGCATGATTTGCAAGGTTTGAATGCCCAATTTTGGGGCACTCTTCAGTTGGAATTAATAGCAGGAACTGAAGGAACTCATATTTCCCACAGATATGTTTTCATTCTGGAGTGAACTTTAGAAGGAAATGGTTGATGAGCGGAGGTTGTTTACAACCTAATCTGATTCTGTCACACGTCTTGAAATTTATTTGACATTGACATAGAATCAGGCAAACTAGAGAGTTGGATCACAAATAAGATCCATTTATATACTTCCTAGGACAATCTCTATAGAATCATCCCATTCCCATTCCCATAGAGATTCTCAAAAACTGATTTTCGAAAAATGACTTTCCATAAAATCAATCTCTATGACTGGTGGATTCATGGATTGGTTGTTGTAACTCCATGGCCATTCCCTTCACCCCCCGTTGCGTTGGCGTTTGGCTCGGTAGGTGGGGCAGGGACTTCAACCAACATGAACGCCAATGAGGCCAGTAAACGAACAGTTCGCATCACTTCGCGAACTGGAGAATCACAATAGAATCCATAGTTGTTATATATGTTATGATACATAGCATAAAATCATAGCATGTTTTTTTGGGTATATCATATATATATATAGATATATAGATGGTACGTTACTGGAGGCTAAATGGGATAATCCACCCGTTACATCCTACGACAAAACGGTGGGGATCCTCCTTAAGTAACCTCCAGGCGAAGTGACATTTGGCTTTCCATTGAAGTGGCAGAATCATCACTTTTCATCTCTTTTCGGGGTATGCCCCAATTAACCGGGGTTAACATCACTTTGTTTTTTGTTGCTTCTGTTTCAGTTCAGATGCCTTCCTGTTTAGGGGACATCCGATCATGACAACAAAGCCATCCCAGTTCTCCATTTCCGTTTGTAAAATCGCCATATTCATTGCCAGGTTCTCCTGTTTAGTTGTATGAGCTCTTTCTCGTTGGTAGCCTATTTTCATTGGTTATTTTCGCTGGTTTTCTTGTTGGTGAAATTCAAAATCACCGATGGTTGTTATTCCAAGTTTTATTGTTGAAGAATTTCCCATGTTCGTTGGTTTGATTGGACCTTTGGTTGGTTGAATTCCAAATGTCATGAAGGTTCAATCCCCATGTTTATTGGTTTCCATCCTCCATTCGTGCAGACTCCACGGTTCCATGGTAGGTCATTGCGAACCGTGCGCTGGAGTTATTGGGCCATGAGAAGGGCCAGTATGAGCCCCTTGGCCACCAGACCAAGCGGGATACGCATAGATTGGGAATGGTTGGGACATAGGTTTCATAGGTTAGCCTAAAAATGGTGATTTACCGATTTACCCATACTCCAAAACGGCTGTTGCTCTTCCTGTTGCTCTTGCTGTTGCTCTTGCTCTTCTTCTTGCTGCTGGTGTTGCTGTTGGTGGTGGTGCCGTTATTGCTGTTATTGCTTTTCTTGTTTTTGTTCTTGTTCTTGTTCCTGTTCTTCTAGTTGTTGTTGTTGCTGTTGCTGTTGCTGTTGTTGCTGTTGTTGCTGTTGCTGCTGTTGTTGCTGCTGTTGTTGTTGTTGTTGTTCTTGTTCTTGTTGTTGTTCTTGTTCTTGTTCTTGTTCCTTTTGTTCTTGTTCTTGTTCTTGTTCTGGAAGTACAGTATGGCTACAAACCTTTGGATCCTACGTTTGGATCCTTGCTGAATGCCGTGGATCATCGTCAAAAATCCAATGAAAAACCCACCCAGCCAGCCAGTGAGGCTGGGGGGCACCTTTCTCAGGGATTATCCTAGCAACTTTACACCATTCAATCTCCATGATCCATGATGGGAATATTACTAGGATAAACTGAGATATCCCAATTGATTTATCCGAATATACCTTAGTAATATTCATTTTTGATATGTTAATTGATGCTAGGATAAATTTGGTTGAATCACTATTGATGGTTGTCTATTCCATGTTTTGCTTATCTCACAATTATAATAAATTATATATGTGTATATATATTGGATATTGACCCCATTAAATCTCATTAGCCTCCAGTGTTATCAAACACGGTTTGCTGGAAAATCTCTATTTGCAGATGATTTTCCCACCTACTAGTATAAACCTCTATTTGTTCGGGAATCTCCCATTGCCACTGGAGGGTATCCCCAAGAAAGGCAAACATTAGAAGCTCCAGAGGCTAAATCCCAATATAGATGGTAACTTTGGGAATGGTTTGTCTTACTATTCCATTCTTAGATTCCCATTACATCTTTATATCCCTTATATATCCCTTATATTCCAATTCTATCCCATTAATACTAGTAACCCTATGGTATATTTATCCCTGTTATCCAGTTATATCCAATTATAATACCCATTTTATGATTATATCCAACAGTGATTAATACTAATATTTATATATTGTAAATATATCCGTGTTGTATCAAATCCCATGTAAAAATCCCGTCGTCACGTCAGGTTTTGCAGCCCCAACGACGACGTCAACAAAGGCCCCTTTTTCGGGCACGAAGATGTACAAGCCACAACGGCTAGATGATTAGGTTCCAAGTGAAAAAGACATGTTGTAATTATATAGGTACCAAGTGTTTTTAGGTTCCGTTGATAGGTGCAAAATGCTTCAGATTCACTGTTTAAGTGGACGGAAACGAACGATTAGGCACCAAGTGATGATAGTGAAGCGTTTTTGTTGTTTGTTTACATCCCCTTTGTTCAAGTTTGAGCCATTGCGTATGGCGAAAAAGGATGGGGATTGAACTAGCTAATTTCCCTAACGCTACATGTGTCGAATAAAAAAACTAACATTTAGTCGCAAGATGACGCAGTTATTCATTGCCCAAATGTAGGTAAATATTCCACAGATGGAGCACATGGGTTTGTTGTAAACGCACCAGACAATTTTGGATTGATGAATTTTGCCATACCCAGCCGGGTTTGTTCGCCACCGGAAGCTGTACCTGGACAGTGTTTTTTGGAAACCAAAAGGGAAGTGCCAAAGTATCCAAAGAGTCAAAAAAAACATCATTCATAATTCATAAATATAGTATATCAATTCCTTTTGGAATTTCCCTTATAATTTGGATGTATATCATAAAATACATTTCTCAATCCACCTTCCATCTTTCATCACTTAAACTCTCAGATTTCACCGCCATGCCACGGCCATGCCACGTCAGGGCAATCGACGAATGATTCCTATCCCACCTCTGCGAAGTTGGCCTGTATCCTGATGCATTCGGAGCTGCTGAACGCCATCAAGCTCTTGAGCCGCGAGGCGATAAGGTGCTGGCTGCTGGGGTCCTGGTGGATGTGAGTTGGAGAGTTGGATTGTTTTTTTACGTTGTGTTAATGGTTAACAATGGTTGAGAATGCATGGTTAATACTGGTTAATAATGATTAATGATTAATGGTGAGTATGTCTCTCAACTTTCTTCAATCTATCAATGCCCTGAAAAAGCCCGATGTTGATCTACACATCATGCTATCGATTTTTTTTTGGGGGGATGTTTTTAGGACTAGATAGCAATTTCTGCCAGCCGCTGAGGCAAGAGTTTCTTCAAGAAGGCAGAGGAATTCGCCGATGTGGTGAAGATGGGCCGGACCCAGTTGCAAGACGCCGTCCCGATGTTTCTCGGTGAAAACATCCCCTGACAAGTCATAGTTTCTGACATTTTCTGACTGGAACTCTATATATATATATGGCGATATTTACAATTATATATATATATATATATATGATATTTACAATTATATATATATATATATACGTACATATATTCTGACATTCTCAAGGCAAAAGGATGTAGATGCGATCTGCTGGTTGTTACCCCTATGTTACAGTTATACTCATGATACTACGTCAAACATCAACCTTTGGGACCTTTGATGGTTGCTTTTGTACGAACGAATCTAACTAATCTTTGGCTGTAGCTGGGGGAATCTAAGGTTGGTCATTTATATTGAAGGTACCAATGAGAAGATGTGTGTGAGCGATTGTTGGTGATAATCATGGTGAAACACAGTGAGCACCCATTGATGTTTATCCAAAGTTTTTACTTGGGGGGTGCATGGCACAATCCTGTGATTATTGGGCTCCCCGAGGGGGAGTCGGTCTTTAAAGTGACGGATAGAGCAAAATTGGCTGCGGCACAATTTCCTTTGAAGATGCTTTAGGGCCTTAGGGTTTTACTAACACCTGGTAAACATTATTCTGTTGTTTATGTTGAAATCATTAGAAATTGAAATCTGTTGAAATCCAAGTTTCAGTGGTCAAAAACCTCCGAAATCATTGTGTTCAATGAACAACAATATACAATATACAGATAGATTGTTCCACGGCCAACGACTCCAAGTTTTCAGCTATCCAGTGGTCAGAAGGAGCTAAGGAGCTAGACTAGTCAGATATCCCCTATTTAATAAGGAGGTAAGGTGCGACATCAACAGTGCCGCCTGTCGTATCTGTCATGCCGAGGACCCTGGGGCAGGAATTCCATGCCTACGGGAATTCGGTGGCCAGCGATATTGATGCCCTGAGCAATGCGGTCAACAGGTGCCACACAACGAATGGTGGGGAATGGTGGGGTTTTGAAGTTTGAAGACTTTAAAGTGTTTCTTGAACTTCAGCAAAGTTTGAGGTTTCTTCATTGGTTCAATTCTGGAATATTATTGGGCGAACCCTATATATGAAGCATGGATAATCAACGGGCCCGTGTCTGGAGATATGACATCCTAGAAAACCCTTGGTAATCGGAGCTGGCAATGGAAAAACATATCGTGAAAGTGTTGATCTACACATAAGCAGGGAGAGAGAGAGAGAGGGAGAGAGGGAGAGAGGGAGAGAGGGAGAGAGAGGTCACATTCCTGATGAAAAAAAATGACTTTTCCGAAGACCCTTACCGGATGTCTCTAATCTTCACATCCGCTGACGGAATCTGAATTCCTTAGGCATCGCTAGCTAGGTGTGGGTGGCTGAATCACCAATCAGATACAGGAAATTTGCCACGAAAAATGACCAAAATTGGCAAACTTGTAAAACGTTGGAGTATCCTATTCCTGACCCCTAACCATCACGATTTGCGTCGAAATTGGTTACTTTAAGGGTAGGGTAATAGGATAATGAAAAAGACCACGATCTCTCCATTGAATCACAATCTTCATTAGGGAAATCATCATCAAATCACATGCACTTCAAATTACTAGTTGATGGTCCCCCAAATGATAGGTATTCAAGTTGCTTTATGGTTGCAGGCTGGGATTTATGGATTTATGGTGATGGAATTTATTTAAACATCAATAGTCCCGTTCGATGAGTGGCCAGAACTCAACTATATACTCAACTTGGAATCACCATTTCTGGGTATCTACGTGTATACCAGAACTCATCATCCTTACCAATGGTGATCACTATAAATCAGTATTCATCAGTGGCATATCCCCATATGCCATCAAGATCCATCAAGTCACCATCCATTTATACCTTCAACTCTCAACTTAGAATTGATCTTAGAATATATCACCCTGGCTATCTATCAGTTACTATAAATGGTACATCTATCATCAGTTACTATAAATGGTACTATCCAATATCCTTACTATAGTTGCTATACCATATATATCATCCATTTATGATATCCTTACCAATGGATACCAATGGTACATCTATCAGCCACCGTAGGTTCTGCACCTCGAATCTGGGCGGCACGGCCATCGGCACCGGCATCGCGGCGGATCCCCACTTCTCTCAGGTGGCGGTGCAGGCGCACCATGGGGAAAAGCCCGGTGGATTGATATATCCCTGGTTGGTGGTGTGGAACATGTTATATATATATATGTTGGGATATATCAATCAACCACTTATATATAATTATATATATATGTTGGGATAAACATATTGAAAAAATCAATATATTTTTTCCCATTCAGTTGGGAATAGTAACCCAACTGACGAACTCCATCATTTTTCAGAGGGGTAATAGGTATGTCACCAACCAGGTTTAAAGTATTCGAAAAAAATGGAAGATCTTTGGGAAACAAAGCAACAAAAAAACCCAACATATGAAAATATGGAAGGTGATCGGAAAAAAAAATAGGTGGATTTGGGGTAGCCCTATTTTAGGAACATCTCCATATATGTATACACACTTGTATGATCTTGTATGTAAGACATCAAGGTACAATTAGTCGTGGCTGTTGCCTCTGAGATCAGATGAGTCTATCGTCTGACTCATAGTCTATTCTTAAGGTGATATCGTGATGGCATATGAATGAGATATGAATGGAAGATGAATTGAGTGGATATGAGTGATATAACCATTCATATTGGTGATATTCATGTAATGATGATGTAATGTTACTCCACTCCTGGGAAGTTCCATGACCCCAAGTGACTTTCAGGCTGTGTAGCTCAAGCGACCAGCCACCATGGTCACCAGAGTGTGGGATGAAACCATTAGGAGCTGAGCAAACATTTCCTTTAGTGTTTCTCTTCAATCACAAGGCAGTAGAACATTCGATGGATTTTGCAGGCCCAAGAATTCTTCAGAGTGGAACTGCTAATCCAGCCCCCCCAACACAACAAGTATGAGAAACCGACGTGATGGGTAAAAAAAAGTTGCCACTGGACATGTGGAACATTCTGGAACTGCTATGGCAGCTATGGCTTATGCTGAAAACAAATCATGCCACAAATTCTATTCCTGTGGAATTTTTGAAAAAAAGGCAACGAAACTGCGGATTTGATCCGAACACAACCTCTATCCTCTGAGAATTCAGCTGAACTATGGAGAATCACCAGGCTTACAGTAATAGCTATAAATCATCCATAAATTGGCCATGGCTTTCAATTCGCAAGCCGTCATGACACCGTATCGGATAAATGGGATCAACATGATCAACGTTCCATTGGGAAAAGACTCAAATTCCATGATAGATATTCCCTGTGAAAAAAACATTCTTTCCCCATTGAGGTTGGTTTATCACCATTCTTACAGTTTTTGGAAATATTTTATGATATTTTCCCATTGAGGTCAGTTTTACAAACATCTGCTTAATTCTTGGTGGTTATATGTGGTTATATATGTGGTTATATATGTGGTTATACATCCCCGTTTTTCAACCCTGACCTGCAACCCGAACGGCCCTGCAACTCGCCCCAGGAGTTACGCTCCGTCACGGGCCACCCCATGATTCTGGCAGATGATTTGATCGAAGCCTCCAGTAGTGTGGGAGCGACTTGCCGAGACGGTGGGGGGAGATGGCTGGATGTGAAAATTGAGCGATTCATCATCTTACTGGTGCTTAGTAGGGAATTTTCTGGAATGATCCACTGGCTAGCTATCAATTTCATGATCCCAGCAACCCCCATTGCCATCCATTCCCTACGTTTAGCACCAGTAAGTCATGACGAATCATTGGGATTTACCCTGTCATCAACCGATTCTCGAGACAACATCATATCAAAGTCAATAGGGGGGGTGTCTTAATAGGATTTTCCATGAAATAAACCATCCAGCTATTGGGGTACCCCCATGACTTATGGAAACCCCCAAAAATAAAGGGGGAGCATTCCATGACATACGCCTGGTGCTGGCCCCGCATGTTTTTTAGGCATCTCCATTTCAGGAATTTAGGTACACAGTCCCCTGATCGATGTAAGCAGTTTGAAAGAAATTATTGGTGACTATAGAGAGGCTTGTATTTCTCAATATATTGTGGATAATTTTAGCATATCATAACTATCCAAAAATGGAATAGCCGTATCAACTGTACAGAGATGCCCTTACCACAGAAGAGATTTGGTTATATCATACCGTTTTTTTGCCCATTACAATCATCCTGAGATAGCTTTATTACCCAGCTATTCTAACATATTCTAACAATTCTAACGAATTTTCCATAAAGTTAGAATAGCTGGTACCATGTGTTTGTTTTTGGTTAGGAGGATATGTTAGAATATACCTGGTTCTAACCATATTCTATTCCAGCATTTTTAAGCTGGTTGGTGATTTGGAACATGGCTTTTTATTTTCCATAATATGCTGGGGATGTCATCCTTCCCATTGACGAACTCATATTTTTCAAGATGGTTGAAACCACCAATCAGTAACATATTCGAATTTTTGCATCTTAAATTCCTGGTACCATGTGGTTCACGAAAGAAAAAATCCCTCGCTGGCTCTCGCTGGATGTTCATGAAACCCCAAGATATGGTATCGGCATCCCATCGTATCGCATGTTTCATGATGAAATCCCAAATACCCTCTGGTAAACTAACACATAACTATGGAAAATCACCATTTCTAATGGGTAAATCAACTGTAAATGGCCATTTTCAATAATTATCATTAACCCATGGATATTGCAATGTTCTATCGGACACGATGAAACAAACTCTTGACACTTTCTTTAAGGACATGATCTACTTCTCTGGCATGCTCCGGCGTATCGCTGCCAAGGCGTGACGAATTCACCTCCTGTTTTGATCATAGGATTGCTTCGGATTCTTAGGATTTCCGATGGATCATCACGGTGATACCGATACCTCTTCTTATAGATGATGCTCAGTATATTTCTTGGATACGATGTGCTTCTAGCGACGCCATATCGGTGTATCTGAAAATGACAACTACAGCCGAATGGCTGATTCACCTCGCCGCAGGTCTCCAAGATATGTAACGATGCTCGGCACAGCCTGGCAGATTCGCCACGAGTCTCCACAGCGGAGTTGACATCCACATTGAACCAGGCAATTTTGCGATTCTACAAGGTAAGGCCACAGTAGTTGGTTCATACACCCACTATAGTCAGTATATCTTTCATGAAACCCCACAGTGTTTTTAAGTTGGATCACAAACCCGCTATATTCACTATCTCTTTCATGAAACCCCACAGTGTTTTTAAGTTGGTTCACAAACCCGCTATATTCACTATCTCTTTCATGAACCCCCACAGTGTTTATAAGTTGGTTCATAAACCACTATATTCACTGTATCGTTCATGAAACCCCACAGTGTTTTTTAAGTTGGATCACAAACCCACTATAGTCACTATATCTTTCATGAAACCCCACAGTGTTTTTAATTTGGTTCATAAGCCACTATATTTACTATATCTTTCATGAACCCCCACAGTGTTTACAAGTTGGTTCACAAACCCACTATATTCACTATATCTTTCATGAACCCCCACAGTGTTTTTAAGTTGGTTCACGAACCCACTATATTCACTATATCTTTCATGAACCCCCACAGTGTTTATAAGTTGGTTCATAAACCACTATATTAACTATATCTTTCATGAAACCCCACAGTGTTTATAAGTTGGTTCATAAACCCACTATGTTTACTATCTTTCACGAAATCCCAGAGTGTTTATAAGTTAGTCTATAAACCAACTATATTTACTATCTCTTTCATGAACCCCCACAGTGTTTATAAGTTGTTTCATAAACCCACTATATTCACTATGTCATTCATGAAACCCCACAGTGTTTATAAGTTGGTTCATAAACCCACTTTATTCACTATATCTTTCATGAAACCCCACAGTGTTTTTAAGTTAGTTCACAAACCCACTATATTCACTATATCTTTCATGAACCCCCATAGTGTTTTTAAGTTGGTTCACGAACCCACTCTATTCACTATATCTGTCATGAAACCCCACAGTGTTTATAAGTTGGTTCATAAACCCACTTTATTCACTCTATTTTTCATGAAGCCCCACAGTGTTTTTAAGTTGGTTCACAAACCCACTATATTCACTATATCTTGCATGAAACCCCAGAGTGTTTTTAAGTTGGTTCATAACCACTATATTCACGATATCGTTCATGAAACCCGACTGTATTTATAAGTTGGTTCATAAACCTACTATGTTCACTATATCTTTCATGAAATCCCACAGTGTTTATTAGTTAGTCTATAAACCAACTATATTCACTATATCTCTCATGAAACCCCTTAGTGTTTATAAGTTCGTTTATAAACCCACTATATTCACTATATCTGTCATGAAACACCACAGTGTTTATAAGTTGGTTCATAAACCCACTATGTTCACTATATATTTCATGAAATCCCACAATGTTTATTAGTTAGTCTATAAACCAACTATATTCACTATATCTTTCATGAACCCCCTTAGTGTTTATAAGTTCGTTTATAAACCCACTATATTCACTATATCTTTCATGAAACCCCACAGTGTTTATAATTTTATAAACCCACTATATTCACTATCTCTTTCGTGAAACCCCACAGTGTTTATGAGTTCATAAACCCACTATATTCACTATATCTGTCATGAAACCCCACAGTGTTTTTAAGTTCATAAACCCACTATATTCACTATATCGTTCATGAAACCCCACAGTGTTTTTAAGTTCATAAACCCACTCTATTCACTATATCTTTCATGAAACCCCACAATGTTTTTAAGTTCATAAACCCACTCTATTCACTATATCCTTCATGAAACCCCACAGTGTTTTAAGTTCATAAACCCACTATATTCACTATATCGTTCATGAAACCCCACAGTGTTTTTAAGTTCATAAACCCACTCTATTCACTATATCCTTCATGAAACCCCACAGTGTTTTAAGTTCATAAGCCCACTATATTCACTATATCGTTCATGAAACCCCACAGTGTTTTTAAGTTCATAAACCCACTCTATTCACTATTTATTTTATGAAAGTAATATGTTTCATAAACCTAAAGATTTGTTTCGTAGCTCTTGAAAAAGCTGCGCTGGATCCCCAGGATTTGAGGCTCTTGAGTTCCGGTCCTCGCTGTGGCTTGAGCGAGATCAATCTGCCAGCCAAGGTGGGAACGCTATGGGGAGAATTGCTCTGAGAATAGGATGACTATAGGATGTACCCAGCAGTTATGGTTTTTGTCATTAGGAATTTAATGATCAACCCGTAGATATATGATGAAACATGATGATATATGCCAATTTCATGTGGATTTAGCGAGTGAAAGTGGAGTAATGAGATTTTGAATGATTTAGTGGGAAATGGCTAATGAATGGATCAACATTGCAAATTCATATAAGAGGGAAGATGGTAATAAAGCATCAAATGTTGCAGTACCCAGGGTATCCATGGGTATCTTATGTTCAAAGAGAGCCGTACAGATGAGAGCCTAAAGATGCATACTTATGTAGTAAACTGTGTATCACTTGTACCATGTGATAAGCTTTGTATCAACAAAAATAGTAGTATCAATATTGTTTACCACATATATATGTAGTTTATCCATGTTTATTCATGAATAGTAGATTGTACTACTAGTTGCTCGTCGCGTATATTTATGGTCTGGGCCAAGTGCTGATGGGAGGGCCAGTGCAAAAAGACTGGGCGCGTTAAGAGGTTGTACTTGATATTATTTAATACAATTGATCTTATATGTACACATAACAATATATATATATATATACAGTTACATATATGCACATAACTACATATATATATACACATATTTTATATACACGTGTTTATCAAACTCCCCGCTCATAGCAAGTCTGGTTCCACAAAAATCCCAGCCTTCGCTTGGCTAAATTTGCGCCAGGCACCTGGCTCTTCGATCATGCCTGGCAAGGTGACTTGCTGAGGATTTTTGGGGGGCACTCATTGGGTACCAAAATTGACATGGCTTTCCAATGATTGAAAGAAAAACATGATCGAACATGGTTCATATTCCATATCTATGTTTCCTAAGTATTTTTTAAGTTACACCCATAAGACTTGATTTCTGCGTTTCGAAGATCTCTGCTTTGCTTCATTTTTTTGGGTCCATTGGAATCGATTTTTCAGTGTGGTTCATCCATGTTCATCCCTCTGGGCAGATGTTTTGATCCCCATATTTCATCCTACCTGGGATGATGATGATGACTACTGTAGTCTGTAAAGGGCTTCAAAGATCTTCAAAGATTTTTGAAGCAGACGAAGCAGGAATGGTTTGCTTCGAATTAGCTTCATCTCAAATTTAACGAACATATGTCTCTCGAGGTTGTGGCTACATCCCATCTTCGTTGCTTCGTATCCCACATCCATTGGAATTTTATTGTCCGAGTTCACTTCGTTAGTTGGCAATGCCACCAAAGATGTAGCTCTTAAATCATAAATCATCTCAAATCTCAAACCTAATAGTCCATTTCAAAGAAAATAGGACTCCGTCTACCAGGAATGTTCCTCGGAATCACATGTCCTTTGGTAAACTAAGAAAGCTATGGAACAATATTCATTTTAGCAAAATCAACTATTTGTATGGGCATTTTGGCCATGTTCAATCGTGATGGGCCTTACGTTACCAGAGCTTGTGCCTTCCTCACGGTGAATCCGCGCTTGCCGCCGCCGTTCCAAGGTGAATCCAGTGATTCCTGAAACTCGCCGTGAATCCAGGGCGGGCGTTTGGTAGTGACATGGGGCCCGTCAGTCGTGAGCATAACTTTCAATGGATTGGTTTAAGGGAAAATCTACAGGAAACCATAGATTTTCCAATTAAATATGGGGCTTTCCTGTAAATTTTCCCTTAAACCAATCCATTGAAACTTCAATAAACTAAAGCTGGCTGGTGGTTTCAAAACTTTTTTTTGACTTTCCATAATATATGGAATAATAGTCCCAACTGACTAATATTTTTCAGAGGGGTTAAAACCACCAACCAGAAAGTTGTTTTTGTGAAATAAAACTGAGATAACTATATATAGTAACTCTAGCAACTCTAGTAACTATAGTTCATAGAGATTAAAAACCAAACATAACTGGGTGGCACCCTGTGGATGATAGCAACTTGTTCTGGTTCCACTGAGATTCCTGCCCGAGGAAGTCATGAACATGTGCGCCTTTGAAGCCATCGGCCCCTTGGCAGCGCGGGAAACAAATCCAGCCCTTGAATTTCTTATAGGAATTCTTATACAGTGCTCGGACAGCTGTTGGATTCATTGTAGATATATTCTCTGATAAGATTTAACTAGAGTGACGACATAAATCAAACAAAAGCCACGAATTTGAAAGATGATGCTGCGGAAGCTGGTGATGGACATGGTGATTGTCTTCAGGGTAGATATCAGAGTGCTGGTTGCAACTAGAGTCACTTAGGGTCAATACTGGGGACCCTAAACTGGAAAATATATGTCACCCTATATAATTAAAAGAAAACTGGATAAATGGTTATTGTGTCCAATGGGGGTTGATAGATTTTGGCTTTATAATACAACTACAAGTTTCAGGTTTTATGGAAATCATAAGTTTGGTTTGTTCTTACTGGGCCTTCAAGATACTTCGATGGCTCTGCGACATTGCTCTAACTATCCCAGACGGCTTTGTGATTGGACCCACCCAACAATAGTTTGACAATGTTTGATCAATGCCCATCTATTGCTTATATACCAATCCTTTCCTTTGTATATACCCAAAAAGAAATCAATGGAACAATTTGCACATCATTGACGGATTATATCAATTGGTACATGCAATGAATATTCCATTTTACCACATTTTCTCTTCATACATCCCCATGAAAAAACAAAACACCCATATAAATCCATATTTTCCCGATGGTGTTCCCATATTTTCCCACAATTGTCCCAGGATTGTCCACGTTTTTCCATAGTTTTCCCATATAAAACCGACCTTTTCCTTTGATTCTCCCATGACCAGCGGCCATTTCGGCTGTCGTTGGGGTCACCCGAGGCAACGACGTCACGGTGGCCTTCGGCGCAGAGGCCGGGCAGCTGGAGCTGAACGTCATGGAGCCGGTGATCATCTACAAACTCTTCAGCTTCTTTGGATTTGGAGAGTTGGATGATATCACTGACATTCGATGTAATTCGTATCGTAGAAACCAGGAGTTCATCATGAAGAAATGGGATAAAAAGCCAACAAAACCTGGAACATGGCTGGGTTATGACTTTCCATATATTGGGAATGTCATAATCCCAGCTGACGAACTCATATTGTTCAGAGGGGTAGGTATACCACCAACCGGATTTGGAAGAGAGTTGGATGATATGACTGATGACGGAAATCCAACAAACCAACTATCAGTTTGGGTTTGGATTTTCGATAGATATGGTGGATGATAGTTTGATGATATGGTGTTTTCAGCAAAAGTATGCCGATATTGAAATATTTGGTGATATGACTTTAATTGTTGCTTATCTACAAACTCGTCAATACTCGTCAGCTTCTTTGTGGATCTGAGTGTTGGTGGATCTGTTGGTTTTTCTCGTTGGGGGATGGGGATATTTAACATGATATAAGTACATTTATAGTTGGTTTTTAGTGGATCATGGGATATTCACCAAAGAAATTTCCTCTAGCATTACTTCTAGGAAGATTTTGGCCCATGAAATATCCCAATAAAATTATACCATTCTTTTTGTGGTTATCTCCAATGGAAGTTCATGGGAATTTCATGGGATATGAGTGGGATATGAATGTTATTGCTTGCTCCCCCACTAGGGTCTATGGTGATGAAGTAGCTCTAGTTTGGAGGATCTTGGTGGATTGCTATCGTTGGATCTGTTGAATTAGCTCGTTGGATTTGAAAGATAGTTGGATGATATGCTGGTTTAACCAACAAACATGGTGACAAAATGGTGATATAATGGTGATATGACATGATATGACTATGTATAACTATTGTTTTTTTTAATTATCCCGCGTGTGGCTATGAACAGCCATTTTTTTGATGTTGGGATATATTAAGTAAACTATGTATGGATAAATATATATATATAACTATATGTATTGTTTATCTACAAACTCTTCAGTTCCTTTTCGGATGGTGGATCTTGGTTGGTTGCTGGTCGGCGCAAGGGTCGGCGGAAAAGGGTCGGATCTTCGGTTGCAGGAAAATCGTTGGATCCCAGAACTTTGTGCAGCTGGTGCCATGGTAGTCTTGCCACAGGATCAAAGAAGACTACCCTCTGGTAAACCAGCATAACTATGGAAAGATCCACCATTTGTCATGGGACAATTCACTATTTCTATGGTAATTTTCCATAGTTATGTTAAATTACCAGAGGGTATATTCTGGTTGGTGGTTTGGAACATGAGTTTTATGACTTTCCATAATATATGGGATAATCCTTCCCATTGACTAATATTTTCCAAGATGGTTGAAACCACCAACCAGCTATTAGTTGGCTATATTATAAAGTTTGGATAACTGGGTCTACAATTATTTTATCTTATGGTTCCGTTATAATTGGAGGATCTTTTACCTTTGTTCTTCCCAGAAGTGGATTATAGTTGGTTTATGGCTTCTGAATAGCTAAGGTCTATGGTGATGAAGTAACTAAATGGCTAAAGTTTCATGACAAGCAACATACTTTCGCTTTGGAGGATGACGATTTAATCAACAGAAAATATTATTTATTGGAAATATAATGGGATATTTACGGAAAAAAAATATATATATATATAGATATTTATCCCCAATAACTAGGATCCAATGATGATGAAAGAACTATAGTTGGATGACAAAATAATTCTAGCAATTTCTTGCCCATATTCCAGGGCCGAACATATTCCATGCCAAAATAGCTGGGAAATTTCAGGGAATTGCGAAGACCCCTTTCAGGTGAAATTTGTATTTCATACAGTTTGCCAAGTACTCCTTTTCTTCTGGCACGTACGTTGTCGACTGCACATGTTCTTCCCCAAAGAAGATCCTTACTTTCAACAATTTCTGGAAATGTCATAATTAATAATGTTGAGCTTTCCAAAAATGGATTAATAATGTTCTTATGGGAATTTGTCATCTACACTTTTCAGGATCTCAAAACCCAATTCATAAGCTTTAAGCTTATGTTCTGGCACGCTTGGCTGGCCTTTCATCAGCAGCGCCATCCCCATCTTTCTTGACATCTTTGTGGCCCCGCAAAGAGCTCTGCACAACAGGATCTGGGAACACAAATCATCGACGATCCTGTTTTCTTCCGTGCAAAATAATTCCACCGATAGAGTACGATGCCACCCCTGGAGTGCGCTAATTTTCTGGAATGCGAAAATAAAACAGTATGCGTGGCCCCCTTCGACCTTCCCCATGGATCCAACACCAGTTTTTTCCATCATATACCAGAAAATTATCACATTTCACCCTGCTGAGCTTTTTTTTAATTTTTGGTCATTTTTGGCCAAAATGGCCTGGAATGCGATAGTATGTGAAACTACAGACGTCTCACGCGAAACCGCTACCTTGCCCATAGTCCAGAAAACGTGATTCCAGGCGATTTTAGCCAAAAAAAAAAAAAAAAAACAGAAAAAAAGAGAAAATCGCCGAGTACGAAGATTTTATGGAGTGCGAAGATCTTGCAGAGTGCGTGGATTTTATTGTATGTGCACGTCCCTAGCTGCGGAGTGCGATGCCCTCGCTGGAGTGCGAAGAATTTGTGGAATGCGAAGAATTCCGAGTATGCGTGGCTGGTATAGAGACCACATAGGGAAATTTCGGGGCCAGAACCAAAATTCCAATCCCAAAGCCAGCCCAAACTTCCAGGGGCACACCAGTGGGTTCTATTTTTCCGAGTTCACCTTGGGTGAGGTCCCGGGGAAGAAACTTGCTAATTTTTGCTCAGCCAACCTTTAAAAACGTTACCTTTGACAACCCTGTCCTTCTTCGGTAGACAAATGAGGAAACTTCCTTATCAAAGCAGCCTTCAATTCATTCAACGTCCACAGCTGCTTTGGAACGACATAGGGGATAGAAAGCCGTGGAGGGGCATTCAGTGGATTCGCCGTGGGCCAACTGTTCCCTCCAGATTGAGCTGAAATGCCTATCAAAGTAACATACCAAAACCCAGGTCTGGAGTACGATGAAAACATGGTATGCGAAGATTTTCTGAATATGGGAATGTTGCCTCTAGAATAATGGTGATTTAACCAACAAAAATGGTTATATATTTTTTCAATCCTGGAATTTATGTCCTTAGTGTTGTTTTTCATCCTTGAAGTGATCAGTGACGGCCAGATCCTGATTTGACCATCGCCTCCCTGGGAGTTTGTAGGTTCCTTGCGTGTTTTGTCGCGTGGCATCAACACTTTGCGCGAGCATTGCATCGAGGGGATTACTGCCAACAAGGAACATTGCAAGGACGGGGCGAACAACTACCCTACTTGGAGTATTATGGAATTATTATGGATGTAACTGGTGAATAACATTTAATAACATGTAAGAACCAGCTGATTAGTAAGTCCCCAATTTTTGGGTCCCAAATTTTGGACAATGGCTTGAGACTATGGGTTTAACCGAAGCAGTTTCTAAGTGGGATGATCCTCCAGATGGCCATTGGGTGGCCATTGGGTGGCCCTTTTTTGTGGCGTGACACGGAGACGATTCTGGATGGATTCAGAAGATACGTGCCATGGT